AAACAGTTTATGTGAATTTAATCGATTCATTTCGTTGGTTTTTGTGATCGACACATCCCAAATGATGGAGTTCTTTTTACACTACATCACCGCGGACATAAAATACAATTTCTGGTGTAAAGAAGATGGTCATCAATTTCGTGAGGTAAGTCAAATTAAACATTCGTTTCTTTAGAAGGAGCGAGAGAAATTCAACGGATTTGTTCGGAAAGTGACCGTTTGATCGTAATTATTTCCAACAACAAGTTGGAATTGCAAAGTAACTGATGGTTTGATGAAAAGTGTTTTTCGGTTTCAATTGTTTCAAACTATTTTTAATTTTCAATACTCTTGAAAAACGAATGAAGTGGATCTTCCAGCCTGGAAGTGTCATTTTGTAGTAAACAGAATTATTCAATTTGTGAAAAGTGTCCAATCAATGAATTCGTTTATTCTCCATCAGGATTGGGTGAAGTGTCGGATAAACGTGAAATATTTCGACTCGCCAAACATTCAAATCAGTTGCTATCCAGTGAACCATTATGAAACGATTCCGCTAAATGTTGACATCAACTTCGCCGACTTTCGTTTCGAAAAAGCCGTCGAAATGTATGGAACCAAAACAAATGCGTTCGTTCTGCTTTGGACGCAGCATGATCAATCGAACGAGTTTTATATTGCCATCGAAGACGAGACGCAGTTCAAAAATTACGAGAGTTACTTGAATAACCTGATGAAAATATGCCGAATCGCTGAAAATGGTAAGTGTTTGGGATTGATAGTTTTATCTACAGTTTTTGGAAAAGAACAGCGAAAATTACAATTCGAAATATGAATCAAATGACCTATCCAAACATCATTTATAGCCTGTAAACTATAGAAATGCCTAATATTCGATTAGCTTCATTCACACCTCGTTCAAAAATTTCAAGTCAAAAAATACTAAAGCATACGTCCGTTTATTTCACAGAACGTCTAGACGCTCAAACTGTCGAGCCGTCATCAATTTCGTACCAAAATGTGGGTGGTTCAAC